CAGGAGGAAGCTGTCTGCACAGCGTCGTCCTCCATCCCTCACTCTATTATTCCTGCCTGTATTTTTACTCCTTCAAATGCATTTACATGTGCTCAGGTATTTCCCCTGGGAGCCTGACTCCAATTCAGAGGGTAAGATAAGCCATCAAAGTCAGTGACAGAGAGGGCGAACGGGTGACTCACTGACAGGCAGAGTGGAAGACAGTCAGGAGAGGCTGCCATGACTTGCGTGCACACGAGCTGCACGACTGCACTGTCACAAAGTGCACGATTGAAAGAAAGAAAGAAAAAATCAGCACTGTTGTTGCTACGTACGTAAACTAAGAAGAGGCAGAGGAGGGAACGCAGGTTATTCCAGCAGCTCAGGTCACACGGCGCACGTCGGCGCACACACTCATACAGTACACACGCTGTTGCACGTACAATGGCATTTTCTCCCCAACAACTGCTCTTGTTTAGTATGCGCTTCCTTTGGTCTTGAGGAGGAATGATCCTCACTCTAATGAACTAGGGCCTGCCACTTGAATGTAAAACAGGATTTAACCCGTCTTCAATGTCAGAGCCCCTCCCTGGGGCTGCTTCAGACAACACACACACACACACACACATAGCCACAAATTATGGAGATGCATACATACAGATGTGCCAGGGCGACACACACACACACACACACCTGCATGTAGTCCTTCATGAGTGAGACACTCTCCGTGTCCCTGTGTTCATCTCAGACCAATTTATGGCGACGTCTTTGTTAAATTTGACACCGTCTCAGACGGAGGCCCATTCCTTTCACCTCTGCTCACTTTATTAAAGATTCAAATGACTCGGCGTTTTAATGCGTAACATCTTCCTCCGAGTCACACCTGGAGGCCGGGTGTGTTTGGAATTCGCATGGACCTATGTGAATAATGGTTGAAAGGAAAGTTAACTCTTCTTACTTTTTTGGACAGATTTTGTTTGTTTATACGGGGGAAAAAAATTTAAATCCCACCGAAACGAAACATTTTTATGTGTAAAATATCATCAAAAGTGATGTGATTCATAAATCGTACGCTACGTCGCAAAGCAAGAATGAAAAGTCACAGTCGTGAAGTTGTGCTCCTCTACTGGAATATTTTATTGTTATCTTTATCTGTAACATTTTTTTTTTCCTTTTCACATTTGTTCATTTTATTCAATGAGTGGGTGGAATATTCACAAAGATGACAGTATAACATTAGAGTCACAGTGATGGGCAACAGGTTAGCTATTTAATAATAAAAAAAGACTCATGTACAACGCAACAAACACACACACACACACGCATCCACCCACACACAGGCGCGCACAGGCTCGTTCGTCCGCTCTATGCAATGGAACACTCCAGAATATGTGCGCTGACACATATTTGTACAGCCGTGAATGTGTAGTGCACATAAGACGTGAAATGTGATGTACAGCCGTGAATGTGTAGTGCACATTCACAAGTTTTTCTTTTCCTTTTTTTTGACGTCCCTGCCCTCTGATAAATGAAATCCCCAGGTAGCAGAGAGTCAGGTGTGTTTTCATCAACCCTAAGGACTTTAATCAAAGTGCATTATTTATGTGGGTGTTCATACATTATTAGAAAATATGTCACTATTCCTCGCATTTTTTATTAATATTTCCGCCTTTATTTTCGCAGATTTGTCACATTTTACTTCTGACTCCCTTCGGTCCAAACGGGGAAATGAAACGTTCAGTGATTTATTACTTTGTGAATTTGTTCTACAGTCCTGAGATAATTCAGTTACCTTCAAACTGAAATTCAAAGTGTTTTTAATCCCGCCCTCTCTTCTTTTTGACTGAATTTGTACCACAGCAGAATATTTCCAGTAGGTATTTATTGACCTTGAATGGTCATCTTTTAATGACCATAGGTGGTCTGTTGTTTATTTATTTATTTTTTTATTTTATCTACGTTATTTAAAAAATCGAGCATTTATGCCCCTCTCCGACTCTGTGGTCAGGCTAGGATATTAGTGACCACTCTTGCATTGTTTTCTGTTTTAACAGGGGTCACCCAGCCAGTGTTAAGTGATGAAGTGCTTTGAGTTCACACCAGAACGGAATCCAGTAAGTGCTCCGAAAAACACAGAGGTCTGAATGATATTAACACTTGAGTTCAACACCATTCCTCTGCTTCTAAAAAGCATTTCACAGAAATAACTTTAACTTCACAGAATTATATATATATATATATAAAAAACTTAAAAAAAAAAAGTGTGATTATTGTGCATCCAATACAACTATGTTATTTTGTCTGTCCAGACACATTTTTCACGCCGGTCGTTCATTTCTCTTATGCCGTTAAAAAAAAAAATCAATAGAGACAAAATGAAAAAAAAAAAAAAAAAATATGGCTTTCATACAGAAACACAGTCGCAGCCTCGTACAGAATATGTTATAATTAATAGTCAGTCAAACCAAAGAGCTTCCTATAATAAAAAACAACAAAATATCACCCAGTCTTCATTTAATTTTGCCTTTATATATATAATGGAATGTAGGGGACAACATTATTCATAGTCGTGTCCCGAAAATGTGCTTAAATCATGGCTGACTGATGAAGGTTTAATTATTATCATTACTATTGTTACTGTTATTATTATTTTTGAATCTCAATACAAAAAAAAAATCACCAGATCTCATCTGGATCTGAGAGAAAAGAGTGTGTGTGTGTGTGTGAGACTGCAATAATAAAAATTTGAAAACCAAAAGTCACTTTCTTTCCTACAGACGAGCGTCCACATTTGTCTGCCGTCCTCAGAGCTGATTGGGTTAGATGCGGTGACAGTGAGGTGGGTGTGAGCTGAGGGTCTTCATGGTTTTGTCTCTATTTACAATATGGCTTCTCTGAGTGGAAGAGACACAGAAATCAACACAGTCGTCTGAGCTTGAGTGGAGATCTTGGGGAAAAAAAAAAAGTCTCGAGGGACAACCAGTCAAAGTTTTCACGTCCCATTTCCTTAGCAGGTCGCCGTCACACGTCCATAACGGGCGGTCATGACCATTCCCTAAGGCAGCGACTTGTCACATGTTTTAGATCTCAGTTATTCAACTCATCGTCCAATTAGTAAAGTCCTTAGAGGCTTAATGTCCTGCCACGCCTGTCCGTCTCGCCCTTTTCAACCCCTTTCTTTCTCTTCTGTCAACCCTGCTCCATCTTTCATTTTCATCCTCTCCTCCTCTCACCTCCTACTCCCCCTCTGCCCCCCCAATAACCCTCAATCCTCCTCTGAACCCGCGGCACCCCTCAGTCCATTCATACAGAAGGGCAGCCCAGAGGAGAACGGGTTGTCGGACGGGGAGAAACCGCTGAAGGGCGGCAGGCCGGCCAGCCGCTGTAGGTGTGGAAAGAAGGCTGGGGGGGCTCCCTTGTGATGGTCTGAGCGTAGCTGCAGGCCATCACTGTGTCCCGTACTGTGGTGGTGCGACGGAGGCAGCTCAGGTGGAGCGTAGCGGATAGTGCTCGGGGCATAAAGACTCTGAGGGCCCTGTGGGCTGAGGGCGAGGGGGTGAAAGAGGACCCTCCCCGCAGCACCGCCCGCAGCCAGTCTCTGGAGGAGCTCAAAGTCGGGACCGCAGCCCGCGCCTCCACCGCCGCCGCGATTGAGCACACCTGACACGGACCTCTCCTCGCGGGGCAGCGGGGAGGACACAGACATGGCGGGAGACAAGGCGGGGGACGGAGGAGTGAACAGACCTTTTGCAGGCGCTTCACTGCTGGAGGAGGAGTCGGGTATGGTGGTGGTGGGACTGTCACCGTTGAGACTGCTGGACGGTGTGTGCGCATGCGAGGGCTGGTGTTGGGTGGAGGATTGCGTGTGTGATCCCCAGCGACCCCCGACGGTCAGGGAGTCGTGTTCAGTCTTGATGCTGGGGCTGCTGGACAGAGGGGACGCGCTCACTACATTCTTCAGCTGCTGGATCACAGCGCGGCCGTTCTGCGCTCGTCCTCCTCTGTCCCCTCTGGTCGGAGTGTCCCCTCCTCTGCTCTGTTTCACTCCACCCACACCGTCCTCCTGTTTCAGTCTGTCACCGTCTCCTCCCTGGTCCCACTCGGCTTCGTCCTCCTCCTCTCCCTCGCTATCACTGGCCAGGTCCGAGGAGGCCGACACGCTCTCCTCTAGGTGACGCAGTTCCTCCAATCTGCGGCGGGTTTCCGGGGGAGCGCCCTCCGGCTCGGACCTCAGATGGCGCTTCCTCCTGTCCTCGGACTGGACTGTGGAGGTGGTGAATTTGTCTCTACTTTTAGTGTTGGGTTCACACTTACCAGACGAGGCCTTCCCTGGCTGAGAACCTGAGGAGAGAGGAAAAGAATTTGAAACAGTGGACGGACACAAAGACAACGGACTGAAAATGAAAGAATTACTCTGTTCTGTATACTACTGTGGTACACAGGAATGCTACTTCTTCTTATCCCCCTTAGTAGGAATGTACACGTTTGTATGTAAACAAATATATTCAGACCTGAAATGGAAACTTTACATAGATATCCTACCATGGATAACAAAGACAATCAAAGACTCATTATATTGATTTCAATTGCATTCTTATCAAATATCAATATGTGACCCAATGTGTAACAATACTAATTTAAACTGTGTACTTCATCTGTCTACTGCACTGGTTCTCCAACTTTTTCTACTCTGTACCACCTGAGAAAACATCAAGCTCTCTTTGTACCACCATGATGACCAACAGTAGAATATAGCAGCATTGACCTTCCCTGTTAGCTTCCACCACAGGAGAGAGGTTTATAAGTGTTTATGTTTAAATGTTGTATTAATTGTGCATGGTATGTTTATATTTCATTTAAAAATGCAAATGTGAAAATATGAATTTTCCCCACGTACCACTAGAAAGCATTCGTGTACCACTGGTGGTACGCCTACCACAGTTTGAGAACCACTGGTCTACTGTATACACAAATTAGTACAAATTCACACTATTATTTTTTATGGCTCTGAACCTGTCACCTGGCTACTTCTGCGGGTCTGAACCAAAACTGTTGTAGCTAACGTTAGCTCTGGTGTCTGTGTTCACAATGAAGAGGAAACTGATTGGTGCACAGAGTTGCAAACAACCATGCTCTTATCTTAGCCAATGAGAAAAATTACAATCACCAAGCAGATTTGTTTTTCAAACACCCAATGCAACCCAGCATATTCTCTGTAACTGTAAAATGAATTTGGCGGGGTTATTACTGCCACCTACTGGGCTGGAGTGTGTGCATCAGTGTTCCAGGTGTTCCAGGAAAACTTAAATTGATTAAATATAACCAGTTTTTTCTATGCAGGTGTGGACCACGCAGTACTGTAGTGTTGTGTGTATTATCACCTCGAGCCTGTGGGGAGCTGTTGGTGGGAGGTGAGCTGACGCGAAGTCTCTCCGCTCTCACACCTTCTGGAAGCTGTAGGATGTCTAATGGAGTGTCGGGCAACTCCGTTCGACTGAAGAAAGAAGAAAAAAAAAGGAAAGTTATGGAAACCGGAGAGATATTCTGGAAAAACTGATCGAGCATTTCAAATAACGGTGTGAGTGAATACTTAAAAAAAAAAGTACACAACTTCAGCCACATGCATACAAACACTATTCAGAAAACACTCCGAAAAACCCACACTTTATGGCCCACTTAGCAGCCCACCTAAACACAGTTAAGCCCAGACAAGGAGGAGGCTGCTGGTGAAGTTAATGAGCTCTTGTAATTACAGCACTAATTAACTAAAACAACATTCAGCCCCAAAATTCTGACATCCATTTGTTGTAATTATATACCTTCTGCTCAATTAGCATTGATATTCAGCCTACACCACAACTTGTTTTTGTCTGACTGCTCCGTGCCTTTGCACACACTTGTTTTTTTTTTTTTGTAAATGTTTGTTCCTGCATATGTGTGTGTGTTGGTACCATTACCTGAGTGAATATGTATTTGTACAAACAGAAAGAGAAGATGCAGATTTATGCAATTGTCGTGTCTGTATAAAAATAGTCTCAACCTAAAAAAAAAAATATATAAAAAAAGAACAAAAAAAAAACACTTGTACATTTGTGCTCTTATGAACACAAGGGCATAAAAAACAGGTTTAAAAAAATCATGTGTAATGTATGAGTTTATAAAAATGCAAAACAAATTCCTGTTAATTAATTGAGCAACAGTTCAGTGTTAAATGTGGCTGGTTATGATCCTGGGTTATACAACTCCTGTATCTGCATAATGAAAAACATAAATTAAACCTTTAAACAGTTTGATGTAACAATAAGCTACTTAATAGTATCCTACATAAAAAAAGTTAAAAAAGAAGAAGTTAGTACTGAAACAACAATCTGGAAAACATCCGAGTAAGTGACGACTTAAGAATTAAATCAAATTAAATTGTGGCTTTAAAAATAAAAGTTTACTTTTTTCATCTCCAAATATTGGTTAGAAAATAACATGTTTCTCATTCTTTATTCAAATAATTTTAAAAAACATTGAAAATAAAAGTTGTGTCCTGCTTTGATGTCACTGCTCTGTCATCAGGTATCCCGGTCACCGTCCTCCCGTCTCGGTTAGTGTGAAACTCTGGCTAATCCTCCTGCGTTTCATGGTCTTTCCCTTCAAAGGCTCAGTGTTCTCAGTGTGATGCTGCTCACATACCGGCATCAGTCACAGGGGCAGATTGTAGATCTGCTCGGCCGGTACTGACCTCAGGACATAGTTGACCCAGATGACGTTCCGTTCGTGCGGAGCTTTGTGGTTGATGGAGACGGTGGCCGTGGACTGGATCCACAGGTAGCCTCCCCTCCTCTGGAGCCAGCGATAGTAACCTGTCACCACCTGGCCTTTCCTCAGCACTGGAGGGGAGAAGAGAGGAGAGGGAGAGAGGGAGAGAGGGAAGGAATGGAGATGTGTTGAAGTTGAGGGAAGGAGAGTTTAGGAAAGGGGAGGAGAGGAGGAGGAGGAGAAGGAGGGGAGTGAAGATGAGACAAGAGAAAAGAAGGAACAGGAGTCAATATCTAGATCTTGCAATTCACGGTGGAGGCAGCAGAGGGCGCTTATCACAACTAGAGTGAATGAGGATTTATAAGAGGGCTTTCAAGATTCCAGTTTGCTGATAAATATGTAAAAGTCGAGATGTTTAAGTAATGACTACAACATATCATATACGTGTGACCTACAATCCTCGTGGCTCTGACGGAGGTTTTCCAGATCTTCTACGTGGATGAAGTGGTAACACGTATGTCCCACCACCTCAGCTGGGGTCAGGTCCATGTACTCTGAGATCCTGAGGATTAAAGATTAAAAAAGTATTTTAAAACCACTAAAACAACAACAAATCGTGTCGGCTCATGACTGACACCGCAACCACTCACCTGTTCTCGCAGTACGTGACCTGAAGGTCCATGTTCACTCGGAAGACAAACATGTGGCTCTCCATGCGGACTTCGTTCAGCGTGGAGGGTGGGAGCGTGTGGGCCAGAGCCACCAAACCCATGGGCCGACGCACCGAACGCGCTGAGCCCGGCATAAGCGCCGGGCGGCAGCGGATACGTCCGGTCACGTGGATCACCTGGGGACGCGACGCAAGACGTTAGGAGGACCGTCACACCGAGATGTGTTCGTTTTACTAAAGCCTCACACAGCCCGCACAGGTGAGCAAATCAGAAGGAACACTGTGGTCATCAATGGTCTATGCATTACATTTACATGTTTTATTAAATATATTATTCACATAAAAATGGAGATTTTCCTGACAGACCTTCTGGTCATATCATAAAAACCCAGAGACCGTTAAACAGGAGAAAACCAATTCATGAATTTATAATTAGTCCTGGTCGTCGTGTCACTGAGCATCCATAGATTATTTACTCATTAACCCTTCGCAGGGTCACGGTGGAGTTGGAGCCAATCCCAGCCGTGACAGTGTGTGGGTGGGGTCACTAGTATATCACAGGGTCACATATAGAGACAATCATTCACACTCACATTCACACTGATGGTCAATTTAGAGAACAAACACCATGTGGGGGGACGATACAAAAAAAAAAAAACGGGCATCGAACAAGCGACCCTGCTTGCTGTAAAAAGGCTAGCGTTCGAATCCGTCATCAATCGTAGCATTTACAAATTTGTGGGAATTGAATGGAACTATGAACAGACACGACAGGCCTGCCTGCAGTCCAGATCTGTCTCTTATCATGTGTCACATCATTAGGAGGAGGATCAAACCGACCTGCAGGTGACGTCCGTTATACAGGATAAAAAAAATAAATTCCAAATTCCAGTCAGCCAATAGACTCTAATTGGTCAGTGAAACATCAAATATCCACTATTTGACCTTTTGACCTGCTCATTAGGATTTGATTGCATTGCCAAAGCACAGATTTTATTTTTGTAATCGCAGCCGTTAACGTAAACTGGGGCTGACGTGTGAGATGAAAGAGTTAACTGCCGGCGCGCCTGTACTCTTTCACCTTAAGTCATCACAATATTTACAGTGTAATACAATGTCGTATCCCGAGCCGGAGAGCGCGCGGCGGCTCCGCTGTTACAGCAGCGAGCGCAGTAAAGTGTCTGTCATGTGCAGCAGTCCAGTGTGAAATAAGGTCACAGCCATAAAACACAGTGAAAACAACCACCTTGACAGTGCTGGCAAAGTGACAAGGGTCTGTTTGTTATTTCACCAGCCCTGGCAACAAGGAGGTCAGTGTTGAAGTGTGTGTAATGCCTCCATACTTTAACCTTGTATCCAGAAGACTTTACGTGCAGGCCTCTTTTAGTGAGCGTGGACTTCATGCGGATGAAGAAGCCGCGGTCAGGAGGCTCATCGGCCGGAGAGTGAGGGCTGGACGGAGCTGCTGAAGGAGAGGGAGAGAGAGAGAAGAAGAAATGAAGCCTGAAGTTGGAAGGAAACACTTTGACTTGCCTTTGGTCTGCCTCGACTCAAAGCGAAGCTTTAATATACTCATAATTCATATGTTTCTCTACTTGGCTCAGGGGTACCAGCCAGGGATGATGTGGATGCAGAGCTGGACGCGCTCTCCGGCACCGTGTGGCATCCAGCCTCGGCCCTCAGATGAGGACTAATTCCTAGTCGCTCTGCCATCTCCACGTGGTCTGCAGGGTGGATGTAGTCAAACACACTGCTGCCGGTCAGCTCCACCTGAAGAGAGACACACACACACTAATCAAAAAAACACAGCACATACACATACCTACATGCGAGCCGGTGTACAGACACACACCCACACACGCGCAGGGAGAAGGAAAATCAATAGACGTTATGACAGGAAAATGAAAGCACTGCTGCGGGTTACAACTCAACAAGGAGTGTGGAGGTTGTAAGACATTCCCACACCCACACACAGGCACATACATTTAAGTCCAGTCTCGGAGGACTGAGTGACTACAGTGCTACACAAATAAAAGCAGGGCGGGTGAAAAATCAATTTTATTTGCTGATTAAAAACAGGTGAACTCCAAGTATCTCCAAAGGTCACATTACTATTCTTCTCCTTATTCCCCGCGTCCCTCCCCGTTCCCTTCATTCCGTTTCGGTCTATCCCGGTCGGCATAAAGAGCGGCGCAACAGCTCTATATGATCCTATCATCATAATGCATCATAGTCGCATCTCTAATCATTTAAAGGTTATAATGGCGCTGCTCTTGCATGGCATCCATAAAAGCGGCACAATCGGAGCAGGTGCGATTCCATCGCTTAAATGAGCGTGCGCGCTCAACATGCGTGCCGTCACACGCGCGCACCCGCACACACACACACACGTATGCGGCTTCTATTACATCTGCGAATGACTCCATGTGCATGTGCATGTGTGTGTCTGTGCATGCCTGTGCCAATACTATTCAATCTGATAAAGCCGTGGCTGCAGCAGCCTCGCACCCTTGTCTGTAGGACACAGCCATTTATTACCGGATTAGAGCCATTTACTGCAGGCTTTATGGGAGCTTCTGCAGGCCTTCAAGGACATCACACAGCCGGGGAGATGAAGAAGGGGAACAAGGGGGGGGGGGAGGGGCAGGAGCAGAGGAATGAGAGTCAGGCGCCGTGAGTGAACAGAGAAAGGTAAAGAGTGAGGAAACCCCACCGAGTGAGGAGGGGAAAAAAAACAAAACAAAAAAAAACACAGTCCCAGACATTCTGCACTCAACCTCCTGGGGATGCCTTGTTTTTTTGCCACCTGTTAATACAAATGTTTTTAATACTCCATCTAATAAGCACCATATGGTGCAATTCTGCAGGTACTTTAAAGCCCAATACTAATATTTATGCAATATGTTTTCCCTTTATTTGACTGGGACACTGGGGATAGAAGAAAAATATACAGATCTAACAGTGCCAGACATTTCAAAAGTTTTCGGAGCCTTTAGATCGGTTATTCTATACCACAGGTGTCAAACTCAGGCTCGGGGGCCAAATCTGGCCCACAGGGTAATTAGATTTGGTCCACAAGATCATATCAAATGTGTAATAGAGTTGGTCCACCATTATATAGCCACTATATACTGGTAGGATTTGTAGTATTAGCAGTGTATGTGCTATGTTACAGCACATCTGGAGAGAAGGGAAAACATGAACAATAACATTCAACAAAATTAACCAAACTCAATTTTTCAATAAATTAGTTTGGTCCAAGACTTGGTCCCAGTTTTTATATTTTTTCCCACTGTGAATTTGAAGTTTGACACCTCTGTTCTATACAGAAGTCAATTTGTTTGTTTTTATATGTGTATCTTAATTGGTAATTCTAATGATCTAATGATCCTGATGTAAACCAACCTGGAGTCTACGTTGTATTGACCTCTGACCTCAGAGCCCTCGGGTGGCAGCCGGGGCCCGACCACTGTAGCCCACAAAGTAGTATTACATTTATGCATTTAGCAGAGGCTTTTATCTAAAGCTACTTACAGGAGTATGTGGTTCGTCTGGGAATTGAACCCTGGACTCTCTGCTTCCGAGGCAGATGTTCTAACCACTGCACAATGGAACCGCAAAGTCAACAATTATAATATATTAGGTTAACAAGTTCAAAGTTACCTTCTAGTCACCAAATGTATGACAAGAAAACTTTAGTTTATCCTATCTAATTGTTCTTCATGTATAAAAAAACTGATTTTATTGTAAAGGGAATTCTTGTCATTGTTCAACCAGAGCTAGGTTTAACCTCTGCTCAGAGCCGGACCTGGAGCTGGACCAGTCGTCTGACAGAGACACCATCCCCTGGCCCCGGTGACATTGGAAAACAAGGCAGAGAGACAAACAGGTCCTTATGGGCTTTAGGGGGCTTAAGACCTATCCAAATAATATCACTCTCTCCACGGCAGCAGGGAGGGCAGGGATTGAGGAGAGAAAAGATCAAACAGAGGCGAGAAGATGAGAAAAAGAAGGAGCGATTGAGAGGACGAGTCGGGCCAAGACACAAAAACAAGTATGGAATGTGGCGCAAAGGGAGACGTGAGGAGATACTGAGATCATTCAGGTGTGTGTGTGTGTGTGTGTGTGAGACTGTCTGTTACTGTGTCTCAGCGTGTCATTGTTTGTGCGAGCAGGAGTCTGTCTGTGCACCTGTGTGTGTGTGTGCGCACACATGGCCGTATATGTATGTTGGCAAGGTGTGGAGAGGGGGCGGGGGAGAGGGGTGGGGGCAGCAACCAGGAGAGAGACATGATATAAATAATAGCAGGGGGCTTTAATATGTATGAGGCATCCGGGCAGTGGTCCACAACACACTCTCAGCCCTCACTGACTGATGGGAGAGGAGAGAGGCGGGGAGGCGGGCAGGGGGAGGGCTGGCAGGGGCTGCATACTAACCATTCCCAGATCAATTCTCTCCTCCCTCAATCTACCATCCCTCCTCCCTTCTCTTTACCCCATTTATCCCTTTCCTTTCCCGACCCAGCCCCTACCTTTACTTCCCCATCCTTTCTCCTCTCTCCTCCCTCCGATTATTCATTTCCTCCAGCCTTTGTCTCTGCTACTGCACCCCCAACAAGTCCCAGAAAAAAAAAAAAAATCTGTTATCTGGTGTTATGTGGTGTTTCCAGGTTTATCCCCGTGCCTCTGGCCGGGAAAGCTGGTGAGGAGGAAGAGCGATACCTGCGGCCGCCGAGGGAGCAGGCGGCCGTCTGTGCCCTTGGTCAAGGTGTGTGACCCGGGCTAAGCCGGCTAAGCAACCCCCACGTCTGGGGAGCAGCCCAGGTTGTAATCCAGGGCAGAGGGGTCAGACGGGGGGATGGGGGGCGGGGGG